TGCCCTAACAAGAAGACCACGAGCGCCCTTGTAAAGGATAAGGGCAAGGGCAAGGTGGACGATGCGGGAAGCGACGAAGATAGGTGCATGGGGGCTATGCAGATGCTGAGTAGCATGGCACATGACACCAAGAAGAAGGGCAAGGCGAAGAAGGTAGTCGGGGTACGCTATGTAGGTACGCAGGTTGGTGGCAAAGCCGTGCAAGCGTTGGTGGACACGAGCGCCACACACAACTTCATTACCTGAAGGAGGCGCAACGACTTGGCTTAGAGATACGCAAGACGGAGGGCTGGATCAAATCCGTCAACTCCAAGGAGGCACGCGTGAGCAGAGTGTGCAAGGAAGTGGAGCTATGCATGCAAGGGTGGAAGGGCAAACCCGACTTCTAGGTTGCGGAGACGGACGACCACGACATGGTGCTGGGGCTAGAGTTCATGTGCAGGAACAATGCCGCGCCACTACCATGCCTTGGTGCGTTGATGATACTTGGAGGTGAGGAAAGCAAGGCCGCATGCATTGTGCCGCTCGTAGGTAGAAAAGAGAGTCCAGAGGTGGCAGTCAACACGATGGAGCTCATGAGGACCTCGCATCTCCCGAAGGGGGCGCGTTCGTTTTGGTTAAGGACATATGCGCAAGTGCTGATGACCTACGAGAGGCTGGGTCAGTTGAAGAAACCGTGACGAGGGCGTCAATGAAATTGGTGGGGGAGAATGTCATGTGATGACCTTGTAGATGGGTGTGCCGTGGGCGGGTGCGAGAGACACTGTCAGACTACCACACTGGCGAGCTATGGGTGCACAGTCCCACATCGCCTGGGTAGAGGAAAGGTGAAGTGCTTATATGTAAGTGTGTCACCTCCAATTGGTATGAGGCCTTTTGGGGTGAAGCTCAAGAGTAAAACCGTGCGGGCTCAGGCCCAAAGCGGATAATATCATACCATGTGGTGGAGTGGGTCGTTACAAATGGTATCAGAGCCTGACCTAGCCGGAAGTGTGCCGATGAAGACGTCGGGCCTCCAAGGGGGGTGGATTGTGATGACCTTGTGGGCGGGTGCACCGTGGGCGGGTACGAGAGATACTGTCAGGCTACCACACTGGCGAGCTATGGGTGCACAGTCCCACATCACCTGGGTAGAGAAAAGGTGAAGTGCTTATATGTTCGCCTGGGTAGAGGAAAGATGAAGTTCTTATATGTAAGTGTGTCACCTCTAATTGGTATGAGGCCTTTTGGGGTGAAACCCAAGAGCAAAACCGTACGGGCTCAGGCCCAAAGCGGATAATATCATACCATGTGGTGGAGTGGGTCGTTACATGTCACGCCCCGCCTATGGAGGTTACGCCACGCAGGCGACACGCAGGTGCTGAGTAGGACGCTGCATGGCAACTGCATGGCAAGTAGAGTTTCTAGAGTCTTCCGAAGTTGTCTAGTGTTGTATGGAAGATTCTAGTTATGTGTGGTATATTCTAGAGTTCTCCAGAATTGTGTGGAGTAGTATGAAGAGTTCTAGAATGTTGTAGATACTTGTGGATAAGTATGGAAGTGAAGAAGGTGGGAGAATATTCTAGAGAATCGATCTCCACCGTTAGTTAGAATGTATCCTAGCCATCCATTAGGGATGGGGATGCCTATAAATAGGAGTAGGACTTCATTTTGTAGCCATTAAGTCCTAGAGTGAGTCTTGAGAGCCTTGTAGAGAGTTTGAGTGCTAGCCTTGTACAAAGCATTCTTTGAAGTAATAGAAGTGTTATTTCCTTGCCAACTTAAGTGCCTTAGTGTGTGTGAGTATGCAAGCCAAGTGAGGAGAGGGCGAGGGGCACTACAACACTAGTAAGCGCACGAGGGGAGTGTGTTGGCTAAGGTGTGCATGGGAGTTAGGCTGACCAAGCACTTGCGAGAGTAGAAGCAACGTCTTGGTGCCGCACGGAAGTAGCTAGAGTGGTTCTGAAACTCTAAGCCCGTGACATTCAACTAAGATAATAAATGAGCATTGCAGGACCAAAGGACGAGAGCTGGATTCAAGTTGGCTTGTCTCAAATGCATTAACTATTAGTAGATAACACATGTTTCAAACATTAATTCTTCTGATGAATGTCTCCAAGTGTTCAATGACAGAGCTTTGTTAAAGCTCCTTCGAATTCCTACTTATACATAATAATATCAACAACAGAGTGGCTTCTAATTAATAGTATTTGGTAAGGGAAAGAGTCATCATGCATCTTTCCAAATCGAAATACGCGGAAAGGGGAAAATGTGAGAGGGGTCTTAACACTCATGACATAAATGATGAGAACTACGCTTCCATTTACATTTCTTTCATTTCCTTTTGAATTAAGACAATGTATATTTTTTCAAAAAAAAAGAAAAAAGAAAAAAAAAAAAGGAGTTCTATTTATGTCTTGATACGGTCGTTCACTCTTTCAATCATTTGAATTCAGATAATGTATTTTTTTTTTCAACAAATAAAAAAAGAAAAGAATATAAGGTTCAATTTATGTCTAGATTGTTATATAATATAGATCATGGTCCAAACTCTATTAAAATTCATCATATAATAGCCCCTATAGTGGCAAATAGAAAAGCTAAAAACGAGCCATTAACTGAAAAAATGGATGGCATGGAACATATCTATATCTATATACTCTATGAAAGTGTATCCAATTTATAATTTTTATATACATTTTAAAACACTTAATTTAATTAAAAATATATTATTACGTGACTTGTGAGGTTTCAATTTACGTTTTTATATTCCTAAACGTCACACCCTTTAAGTTACTCAGTTTATATATTTTAAGTTGCTTTCATTCTCTTATATTGCCAATTAAGATTATGAAAAATCTTTTTTATTCCTAACCGTTACACTTTTTAGGATTTCAACATGACTTTTCATGTTTTATTAAATCAGGTGTCTTTATTAATTTATGTAACTTTCCGTTACTTATTAGAGTTATATTATTAAAGAGTTGCATCACTCCAAAACAATCTTAAAAGAGTTTCAAATCTAAAAGTCTCTTGATTTCTACAATTCTTCCAGCGTGCCAATAATCCCAACTGTTTAACGCTAATTCCTTTTTAAATTGTACAAGAAATTAAAGTATCGCTTCAACTATATATGCGTACGACGTAATATATTCAAATTGCCAACTTCAGTACTTTTATCTTAATTTCTTTCATTTCTCTTGCACTTTTGATCCCTATATAGCAAAAAAATTCTACCCATAAACAACTTAGAGCCATTTTAGAGGAAACACATCTTTGGTTTGTGTGCATCAAATCAAATCTCAAAATCTCAAATCTTATTTTTTGGAAACGCATGCTTGTGAATGCTATGCCACACTTTGGTAATGTTTTTTGAATTAATCTAAAAAATTATATATGTTCTTGACCACCAAATTTGATTCTACTAACTGATGAATTATATTCCTTTACAACTGTACTTTCGCTGAACTTCTCAAAATTTCGTAAATTAAATTATTACATTTGCGGTATTTGACAACATCATTATTAGATGATTCTTGTATTCATGATTTATAAAATCTCTAATGCTCCAAGTTCCTTTCTCATTTTTGTAAATCAATTCCAAAAAATTAAACTCATCCAAAAATCTATTTTTTAATTTCCAAAAGAGATGACTCATCACAAAAGTAATTGAATTTTTCAAAGTCACTTTTCTCTATCTACATAGTCCATTTAGTGTTTGAGTACTTTATTAGTGTTTAAATTGTAATTTTAGTTGTTTTACATATGAAGATTTATTAGTTAGAGACCTTTTTCAATTTAAACACTTGTTTTAACAATTGTGTTTATGTAGTTTGATAGTAGATATATTGAAATTCAATATCATAAAATGTTAATAAAATATAATTTTCATAAATTTCTTACCCTAAAAATTTAAAATGATGGTTGTGACTTATATTAATGATTAATTTTAGATTTGTTGTAACTATTCACTCTTGTGTTCAAGCACCTCTCGTACAATATTTCATACTAAAAAAAAAAAAAACAAAATAGACATTTAGAGACACTAAAATTAGATCAGAATTATAAATTATTATTTATAAATAATAAATAGCACTTACCTTCCTTTGGAAAGGTTAGTGCTTCAAATCTCAGAAGAGACAAGTGTGTGTGAATACCAACTAAGAAAAAAAAAAAAAATAGCAACATTGACTCTATTTATTCCTCTTGGGTGGTTTCTAAAATTTAATTTATTGGTATGAATTTTAAACAGTACACGTGTAAACAGAATTATGCTCAATGTTATGATCAATTAAAATGATTAGAAATTAATTACTTTACGCTTTATAATTGCCAAGAGTATATACATATATCAAAATACACATGTACAAAGTATTTTGGTTTATTCATTGAAATAAACCAAATTCATTGTCCGCCCAACCATTTTCAACACCTGGGCCAATCTCAAGGTCGGTCGCCACTTCGTTGGATCTATTGTGTGATAAGGCTTTTTACTAGGGCATAGTCTCAAAAGAACGATTGAAAATAAAAAAAAGAGTTGTTTAATAATATTTTTTAAAGTTAAAGCATACACTTCAAATAAAATTAATTCAAAATATAAAAAAAATAATAATTACGCGCCCGTTGATTCATCTAGTACCAACAAAGGAAAACAACTAAAAAGAAGCATTTATAAGAAGAGAAGGTAGAATATCAAGCCACCAAATATAAGCTCTCCTAGAAATGATTCCACTAATATGATGCTTGAATTGTTCTGTCAGTGATCTTAATACTCACGGTGAACCAAGGGTTCAAAGTGTGAGTTTCTTACCAGAATAAGACACACACTGACAAACACACACACACACACACACAATAATCTCCATTTAGCCTTTTTTCAGTGGAGATATGGTAGTGATATTGGTATCATTGGTAAAAAATTAAAAATAAGGTTGGTAGGAGATTTTCCCTTTCGGGATGATAACTTAAAAAATTTAATCCTGCTTCAAATGGTTCCTACAAAGTTCTATTCCTCTTATCAGTGAAACACAGAAAATATATAACTCTATTCCTCTTATCAGTGAAACACAGAAAATATATAACTATCATATTACAAATACAATTGCCATCGGGAACAATATTCGACTATGAAGCTGCACACCTCTTTCCATCTCTGTATACTTCCTCCCCACTCTAACATAACTCCCTCTTGATGTGAGGAACAAGAAAGAAAGCTTGCATCCTTTGATGCATGGAATAACATCTTAACATTTAAATATGAAACAATATAAGGAAAAATACCTACAGTACAAAGGAAGGAAGGATATGAGTCAGTGAGACGTTGATGGTAGTTTCCAAAATTTTTTTGTTGCTATGAGAATTTTTTCCCTTGCATGTGATTCACGTTCCTTCTCGTGTATGGTAGTTGTCCATCTTATGGCATGAGCAATACGGGCAACTTTGTCAATTACCTCTGGGGAGTCCCGAATGACAATTGTTCCTTCAGGACGCACTATTCGATCTATCTCCACCATCAAATCCACAAGGTTACACCTGCAACAAAGTCATGAAGAGATGATGTCGATCACTTCATGCACTGGTTAAGAATTTCATGCATTTTTCTTGTCCCAAAAAAAAGAAGAAAGATTACACCTCTTCCAACTAAAGATAGTTATTATGCAGTATTGGTAAAGAGATTTATTTTTTACTATTATTGGTTATTATTATTTTTTTGGTTTGGAGGACAGGGCAATAAATGTCATAGAACATGGTCAGCACAAGATAATTTCAATGACAGAATAACAAAATGGAATTTTGGCATTGTACATGAAAAATAGCACATAAGTCTGACGCTTATCCAACATGGTCACTTCTATGATTAAACGATTCTACACAAGACAGAATCCCAATCCCAACTCAACAAAGCATCATCCCAGGCATTTAAATCACATCTAAATGACTCCCTCTTTGCCTATCTGATTCATTAAGGGCCATTTACTCTAATCATAAATAAGACAGAATTATGTCCTGGACTATGCTTTACGTTGTAAAGGTTCTATTTGCCTAGTCATTACATGATTTCCTCAACGAGCTTAATAAATAAATTTGGTGGCAAATTTCAGCAGTTCTGCAATAAAAACATGAATCCTCATTCTCCTACCTTTCTTTCAACATGATCCCTTTCTATTATGATTCTTCCTCATAAATTTTGAAATAATACCTTCAAATTATTAGTCAAAGGTATACAATGAATCGATGGATTAACAGGGCTAAGCAGCATAACATAGTACATAACAATAAACAAATCAAAGTATAAATGCTTGTTTTTGCGGCTTCAACTACATGATAGGCACAAAATAACTTAGTTTAAGCAGTTATGAAATAGCAAAATAGCAACTACCTATTACATGAGATTAACACAAATGGTTTCAGTTTCAGCCAAACTTCTCCACTTTATTAACGAGGAGACAAAACAACTATATATAGCCACGTCCCATTAATTTCATGAGTGAACTAGTATCAGATATAACATCAATATGGATTAACAAGCATAACATAGTGAATAATTAAATTAAAATTATAAAAGACGTTTTTGTTGCTTCAACTAACATTAACCTTTGGGAGCCTTTCTCGCAATTGGTAAAAATGGACTTACTTTAAACGGTAATGAAATGACAACATAATTACATGATATATCAAAATGGTTTCAGTATCGGGCAAAACTGCTTCATGTTATCCAATAAACAAGGAGATTCAATAACTCTATAGCAACATGCCATAAAAAATCATGAGAGATGCTAATTTATTGAGAAATATTCCAGGAATTAAACTCAAAGATGGTGACCAAGATTTCTCTACCTGCTCTTGCCAGAACCTGGATGTTTTATGAGTGACTCGATGGCAGAAACATGGATAAGATCGTAAGTCCGAGGATATGTTGAGAAAGGCTCACACCTATCAGAATCAATTATAAACATTAGTTCAACAGTAGAAGTTACCCATTCAGAGATCAACAGATATTGTTCTATTGTAGGCTGGGAAAATTATATCTGTCATAGCTACAACCCATGACTAGAGAAGAATCAGCATACAAAGGAATTTATTTGGGTTCATTTCATGGATATTTCTATTTCTTTCGGCTCATGACCATCTATATAGCTTTAAAAGTCAATAATAAACAGGTTGATACTTAAATTTATAAATTACAGAGGAACCAGATTCCAGAGGCAGAAAATAAATAAATAGAGTGTTTTTGCTCTCAAAGTAGAAGGAAATGCATATTGAAAAAGGAAATGATCTAAGCAAAATCCTGTCATATATCATAAGCACATTAGTAGATGTCATATTGGTGAACAAGTATCACAAGTCTGGTAAAACATAATGCCCCAAAGAGACAAAGGAATGGGAAGACTTAACAAGTGTCAGGGCAACTGTCTACACAAAAGAATATTTACTTTTACAAGTTGCAATAAATAGGCTAGAACCAAGCAAAATATGATAGCCCCACTTAGTAATTGACATGTAACATCTATTGATGTGCTCCAAAAACTTGCATTTCTAATAAGCCATGAAGACCAGACACTCCATAATAACTCACCAGTCATGGTAAATTCCAATAAGGCCTCTGTCATAAATAACATCTAGCGTTGAAGGCTTGCGAGCAGGAACAACATTCATCACCCAGACAGGATCAGATAATAGTGCTGCAGCAAAGCCTCCAAAAAATGCATTCATGTCCATGATGTTTCGCACGGCTGGGGTTCCCAGCTTCAAGTTCAATGATCTTTTATAGTATGCAACCCTTCTTGTCCACCGCCGAGTGTCGGCTTCAAACACGTCTATTCCATGCTTCATGAGAGAGGCCCTTGAAGGTGCTTTCTTTAGCCTCTCTGGCCACTTTGGTATCATTCCAATACCATATTCTCCCATTACAGTAGATGTCCTGCTCACACATTTCTTTAACTTGAAGTACCTGCAAAATTACTAAACTCAATTTCCCCTTAAAATTTGTTCTTTAGAATGACCTTTTGTCAACAATGCTATTATCGAGCTGAATTTCACCTTAAAATTTGTTCTTTTGGATGAGCTTTTGTCAACAATGCTATTATCGAGCTCAGTGCAACAATGTTGAGGGTATAGATTCGATTCCAGATTTTATTTAATTTTCCTTTTAGAATTTCAATATGCAGATTAGAACCGAGATCATTTAACATATGTTAAAGCAGAACAATTACCATGCATAACTTGGGTCATCAGATTCGTCACACAATTCAAGCCCAAATTCATTTTGGTTAGGGAGACATGAATCCCCATTAGGCTTCTTCCAGATGACAGTGTTCCCATCTACAACAATCAGCTCATAACACAATGCTCTAGCCACCGCCTGAAGATCTGCCCATTCCTTATCTTGTTTAGGCCACTGTACAGGGGGACCAGATATGACTAGGTATCCTCCAGGGCGAAGCAACCGATCAACTTCGATGAAATAGGTTGCATCTGTAAAACAAAAAAACTATTATAATAAGGACGAATGCAGAAGGTAGCAGAAGTGTAAGCACATAAGTTAGTCAAAACTCACTATATGCTGTAAAAGGGATCAAGCATCGGGAGCAGTGCACCAAGTCAAATGAGAAAGCGGGAAATGGAAGTCTTCGAGTGCCAAGCATGGCAACAAAAGCCGGTATTCCTCTTTCCAGTGCAAATTGTATTTGTGATTTATGTGAATCTCTAGGAGCAAAAGAGAGAGTTGCAATGTCTTCAGCTAATAGGTACCCTCCAAAACTGGCAACCTGCAAGGGGATTAAATTATTAATTATATGGTTCTAAAAAAGTACAGTTATCAGTAAAAGCCCAAAGAGGCACAAGAATAGAGTTCTCACCCCACATCCCATATCAAGAGCTGTCCTCAGAACCCCACCAGCAATAGGAATGTACTGTTTAAGTTTCTCAATGTATTGTACTGCTCCATCCGGGAACATTGTGCCACCACCAGGGAAAATGAAGTGTGGACCTTCTTTTTTCATCCATCCCTGATGGCCTTTCCTATCAGCAATTTTGTCATGTGGCATGTTGCTGTGCCATATCTGTACATAAAATAATGATACCTTAACTATTGACAAATAAGTTCTTATCAAATGGTGCTCTTTCAGGATGGTAATTCAATTTCAATTAGAAGGCATGCTTCTTATTTAGGGCAAGTAAAGAATTGGCTACTCCAAAAACTCAATATTGGCTAGTTGCCTAGTTGGCTCAACAGTCATCATTCAAGTGAGGTCATCAACCTTACAAGCCAAACTCTAACTTTTTGGATTGATTGCTTAAAAAGTAAGCTTTTGCAACAATGAAATTTTAAAGCCATAGAAAATAAATAAATAGAAATATTTAGAGTTAAATTTTTAAGAAACATTGCTTATATATGATATAAGCTAACAATTTGTCGAACAAAGTTGAGCAAGCTCAAGGAGTGTACCAACATCACTACATTGACACAAGTGCAGTTTCACTTATTGGGACAGATACGTCTGTTGTTCAACATTTAGACTCATAAACAAAGACTGGCAGAGAAGTTCAAACTTGGAAAAACGCTTATTCAAGTTCAACCAAGCTGCATTTGAGCAGTCCAATACGCAACTCATTGTGGCGTATTCGCACTCGTAATTTGAGCTTGATTATCAAGCAACATCCATACAAAAGGGGATCCTAGCTTTTAACACCACCATTAAATACAATTCCAGAAATTGTTCTAAAACAGAAGTTCAATATCAGTCATCCCAATGCAAGTTTTGTTTTTACTTTTCGTGAAAACAATGCGAAGCATGCCATCAACCAAACTACTTTAACATAATTTTTGGGGAGGAAAAAAAAAAAGGTTACCTTTGGAAAGAAAGGTAATTAATGTCACCACAATTTCAATTTATGAATTGAATTGTGAAATAACATTACATTCAACAATTCCAGATTCACTGAGTTTTCTTATTGTTAATAGTAAATAAGACAAATGGAAAAGTAAAAAATTTAAACCCAAAATTGACAAATCAAAGAGTGAACCAGTAATACCTCGAGCAAGCTTTCCGGCCACTGAACTGGAACACGGTACCCATCCGGCGGCGGGATCAAGCAGAGCGGCGTCTCCTCCGGCGGGGGACAATGCCTCTCTCTGTAAAAATTCATCTCCCTACTCAGCTGACTGTTCCGTCTCGGATCCTCACACGGCATGTGGTCCACCGCCTCGGCAGGACACGACTCGATAGTCGGCTGAAGTCCAGCTTCCACCAAAGCTACCAATCGAAGTCGCTGATTCGGATCCGCCGTGGACCGGAGCAAAGCCTGGCGGCCGGAGGCCGCCAGCGAGTCGCCGAGCGGCGTGAATACAAGGAGGAAGAACAACAGCACGGCGGCGAAGAAGGCAGCTGAGATGAGGTCGAGGAGTCGCCATTGCCGAGGATTTCGCTTTGACGAGGGGAGGTTTAGATGCCCCATCTTATCAGAAACAAATTCAAGATCTGATCATATACACATCGATATATAAAAATATAAGTGAATATACATATATGTATAAGAAATAGCTGTATGTGTGTACTATATGTATATATACATAGATAATATCTAGGGTTTAGAGAGAGATAGGGGTGAGGAAGTGAATTTGGTGATGGAGTGTACAGATCTGAGGTTTGGGTGTTTTTCTGTAGAAGCAGTATGCACAATTTGCACAATGATAAGTGGTTTGTTGAGTTTGGAGAGTGGAAGTGTTATGCTACAGTTGTATTCCTAGACTATATAGTATATAAGTAGTGGGCACTAGTAGTAAGTAAAGTAAAGATGGGGAAAGAGAGCCACACATACGGGCTGTGAGGAATATGATAATTAGAATATTGACTTTCATACTCAGGTAATGTAAACACTATGATGATGATAATTTAAGTAATCCTTTTAGCCCATTTTCCAATGAAAATATCAATTGTAAAACAATATAATGAAATTGTTGCGACATTGCAGTTCGTGATAGATTTAAGGTTGAGCCATTTACTTTTTCACAATTTGTCGATTTTCTTAAACCAAAAACCAAAGGGGACTGAGTTTTGTGTTGGAAGTGCAATAGGCTGCTCTCTCATCTTTCCTAAACAATTGTGGGTAAGGCATCATCTCCCATGCACTTCCACTCTCATCGTCATTGTATTGTGTGAGCGCGCTCATTTGTCACAAAAATTTTATTAGGTATGAAAAGAAAATAGGAGGGAAGGAACGGACGAATTTCCTTTATTGGTAGAGTTGATATAAAGAAAAAAATAAAAACTATTATAGAAATTTTAAATTAAATATTATCATAAATTATACAAATTTAAATTACAATAATATCATTTATAAATTATAATATTATAAATATTTATTGGATATAATGGTAAAAATAATAAGGTGGGATACCTCCTCTATGAAAATATATATATATATATATATATATCAATGACAAAAAATAAAAATCCTATAATGAAATTTTTGTGAGTTTGCAATATAAATTCTCATTCTAATTTTTTTCTCATACTCCTTAATTTTTATTTTTTATTTTTAGGTTTTAGGATTTAAAAAAAAAAAAAAAAAATTCTCATGGTTAGACTTAATATTTGCCATTATTTTGCATAAACTAAAAAAAAATCAATATGATCCCACCATTGGCATTTGAGGTGAAATAATAATAAGCAGCAGCTGCTATGTGGAAAAAGGTTCAATGAAAAACTAATTGTGATCTTCAAACGTGCATATCTTTTATTACTTCACTAACATGTATTTTTTTTTGTCAAGCTTAACGTGAAAAAAAAAAAAAAAAAAAGAATAAAAAGGAAGGGAATTTCTAGTGCAAAAACATTGCTCCATGTTTAGCATGTAAACAAAAGTAGAAAACTCCACAACGAAAAGAAAAATGTATGCCTAGTCAATTCACAAGCTTTAAAACTTGATTCGCATCACTGTTTAATATAGCAATAAACAAGAAAATGACCCAAAAAACATAAGGGCAGCAATTAATGCGACGAATCCGAGTATATACACATCAAATCTCTTAAATGTAGGTTATACTGCATGAAAACATTCTCCGGAATAACCACCAGCACGGATAGCCAGTTTTGTTTTGGAAGCTCCCATGCTTAATTTCCATCCATCCAACACGTCGAATGGCCTGTCTGAATCCAATCGAGGAAAAATGCGTTGCTATCACTCTACTAATGAATTTTTAATGTTTCCTTGATTGCCTAGCGCTAAAATCATGCTTTATAATGTTTGCCCTCAGAAGCATGGCCTTGACATCCCGGTCAAATTCATTGCCTGTCTGCAGAACCCGTTGGAAAGTGGCATTCCTCTGATCAGCATGTCGTGCATACAGTATTTTGTTATGCGAGTCAATCCTAGCCTGCAGGAGGATCACAGGTTTGGTTAGACCCCCAACTCCATCCAGAACATACAAAGGAGGATTACCCAGTTTCAATCATATAAAACCCATTGGTACCTAAAACATAATTTATTAAAAGCACTACCTGTATTTGGTTGTCCGTAATCAAAGCTTCCAGTTCTTTCTCCAGGCCCGCAACACTTGTTTTAAAAGCATTAGCCATCATGTTCAGATCAACAGACAAAAAAGGGAGAGTATACTGTATGAGGGCCTTGTGACGGATTTGATCATACAGTGTCTCAAGATGGTCATGCAAATGGATGTCAAGCAGCAGATTTGCTTTGAGACTTCCAAGATAATCCAGACATGAGGCATAACGGCTGGAATACAGTAGATAAAAGAGCATGATGTTAAACGCTTATAAATCATATCATCTAGCTAACTAATAGGTTACTAAAAGCTAGAGGATGAAGAAAGGAAGAAAAATTAAACATGTCAAGGAAAAAGTTAAGATCCTATGCTTTATCTGAAAGACCAAATATGAGACCAATGTTAGTTTTCCCCTTGAAACAGATGCAAAGAGCAGAGTGCATTGGGGATCGCCCACTTAAGCAAATTCCAGACTCAAATCACTTCTGTATGTAGTAGAAGAGAATTTATATTCTCTAACCAACCAACAATACAATTGGACTGTCATAATAGTGTACAATTCAAAGGTGTCAATTCTTCTGCGTCAAGGTTTGAGGTTTTCTTCTGTGATAGGTGGCACTTGGCAACAAAAGGTCCCCTTTGTAGTGACCTCTGTATGGACATGAGAAGATGATACTGAAATGGTTTCAGGAGAGTAACTTCCCAGATGGGTTTCAGAAGCTAACAGGAATTTCATCGCAGCAGGAGGAAAGAAACAGCATTTATCCTGTCATAGTTACAACTAGCAAAATTGAAAACAATTGAAACAAGCACGGTACTTGATTTCTCAGTTTATCCAAAAAAACTCTCACCAAGAAGGCATCTAAAAGGTCAAGCTGCTCTCCTATAACAAAAGGAGGCAAGAAACCAAGGACAATGCAAGGATAAGTAATTCATTGCTATTTATCGCCTTATTAAAGGGCCAGTAAGTTCTTATTCCAGCCCAAAGTCCTGTGAGTGTTGCCAATTCCAAAATTTTTTAGTCTAAATTAACCAAGAACTCAATTTCTAAATATAACAGACACATGCTCAGCAGCAGCAATGTAAACCAAAGAATCACATATGCGATAACATTGAATTACCTCGAATAGAAATCATGAATAAGCTCTCTTATTTCAGGTACCAACTCCAAGAAATTCCGGAAGTTGAGATTGTCTATAACTTTGTTCTGCCAAACAAAATCATCATGTTAGAAAGTGATCCCATCATGGCTCAAACCTAAGACTTATTGACAAAGCTATTCAGAAGAAGAAACACAGTATAGTTGCCTTCAGTTCTGATCGGTCAAAACTTGCAAGTGCACACAGTCCACCATATGTTGCAACATCCTGAGCTGCAATCACTTCTGTATAGTTGTTCCCCAATTCAGGACCCGTTTCCAAGAACTGCAAAACACCAAGAGTTCTTAAGTCACAGATGCATAACAGAAGAAGGACCAACTCAATTAAAGGCACATACTTATTTAAAAATGCCATCAACATATTTCACCTCATCTAACAATAACAGCAAAGAGTCCTTGAAAGGGGCACGCATCATTTCACAGATTTAACTTCCTGATTACTATGTACCCTTGGAACTGAAATGTACTAACAAGCACCATCCATATGGAATAACAATAAAAGAGAAACCTTTTTGGTAAACCCAGACCAAATCAAAGTAAGAGAGTGTCATTTTAAATCACAAGTTTTCATCCACTTAATCCAGCAGGATGAAGTAAGGTTGAGCTCATATGATTACTGACAAGCAAGCCTGAACATGGCTAAAGCTTGAGTGGAGCTTAAACGTTATGGTTGACCAAGCAAAGCTCGAAAGCCCAATAATCAGTTCAGTCTTAGCTAATCGCATACCCGAACTGGTTGACAACTCTTCCTTGTTTGTTAAAAAGCAAGGAAAGTTTATACCAATTATAGGGATACTCTGTAAAAGACCACAATAACTGAAACACCTATACTATTAGGGCAGTGCTGTTAAAAGTTCTCTTACACTCTTACCTTTTATTTTATTTTATTTTTTTAATTAAAAAAAAAAAATGATTTAACAATCCTCAAAAGTCAAAACCAAATAAGAATGTGGAGTATGAAAATGCTTGTCATTTCATTTATAAATAAATAATAATAAATAAAAAAAGAGTGGATGATTTTTAGTTTCTCCATGGAATTATATGGTTTGCCTTGTTAAGACCTGTACAGTTGATTTTCCATTATACCGTATCATCATATAGCAAATATTCTCATCTGATGCAAATAATTTAGGTATTTCTAACTGTTGTTATGTTACAATGGCATTTGTACAGGCTGTAGGCACTACCATTCAAGGACAATCTCTTATATGTGTCTGTTTGTTCATCAGAGAGAGACAAAGTAAGAGTTTGGAACTAGATTGAAATTATCAATACCAGTTTCCTCCATTTTCCAGAATATGATAAAAAATAAAAAAATAAAAAAAAATAAAAAATAACTGGACATTTCTCATTCAAGACCCTTCTATTTTGTATTTATCTATGTCGTAGGACATTCTAGTGATGATCAATTTTCATGAGCCCTGAAGATGAAACGCACCACAGTCATATTAGCATAAATACAGTTTTCAAACTGCAAACATATATCATATATTTCTGTTTCTGGTCTAACCACAAATCTATAAGCGAAGATAAGCACATCATATTGGAAACAACAACAGATTAGATGACAAACCTTTCGTGCAGCAAGCTTATACTTTTTAGCCTCCAAGTTAGCCAATCCAGAAGCACATCGTAGTTTTGCTACTGTAATGGGATCCAAGGCATCTGGATTTTGCTCTGCTTTGCCAACATAGCTCGTAACATGTGTGAACTGACCCATCTCAATACTGACCAAAATTGCATTCAGACACATGTAAATGATATGCTTTGATGTTGTGCAATAATCACGAGTGCGAATGTAATTCTTAAATGCATCCGGAAGTGCCCCATGAGCATAGTAAAAATCTCCAAAATCATTGTATCCCATTCTAATGCTTTCTTTGATTAAATTTGTCTGCACAAAAGGAGACAGAATTAAGAAAAGATAACAAGACAATTTATATTTGATATACGGAAGAAGAAAGAAAAATAAAAGGGGAACATGTAGAAAAAGGCAATTATGCAGATTTGTCCCCTTTATGCATATAATATTAGGAGAGGACAGGTCCAATTTTTTTTTAGATAAGTAAGAGGACTAGTCCACAATTGCCAACCTAATCAGAAGATGCAACATAATAAAATTCTTCCAATGTTGCAAACTACCTAAAGCCCAGGAGACTTTAATTACTAAAAAGCCTACAATATTATTTGTTTGGCATGTATAAGAATTTAGCAGCCAAACTACCAAATTAAAAAACACTCTTAGAATGAATGGAAATAAAGCAGTTGCAATTTTGTTAACAACCCTTACACCTGCATCCCATGTAGGCAGAATTTCAACCTAAGGATTGTTAACGACCCTCACACCTGCATCCTATGTAGTAGAATTTCAACCTAAGACCCAAAACCTCAATCGCTCACTGAATTATTTCATAAGCCTGCATTTTCCAACCAATATTTAGTGTCAGAGGACGCAGTTATGAGACTATTTTCCATATTGAACAAATTGATCAACTTTGCAGATTCTATATTACAAGGCTAAACACTTATCTGACATGCCACAAATAGACCAACTGAAGTCACTTCTTGGAGTTTACAAGTGTATACCATCATTAATATCTGGTTTTAAGACCATTGTTGACCTCACCCACCTACTTTCCATAACAAATAAGCCAAATTACTAAATTCTTCAGGTAGTTCAAGAAAAATGATTGGTTTGTTAATCTAATTAAAAAAACATGATTCACAATAGCTACATCTGCAGTTTTCCTTGTTCCTTCTCAACACATGTTACATATTATCTTCTAGACCCAAGTTGACCACCTGTTAAAGTTGGGACTCAACGCACTGACCACAATGTATTCCTATATTCTGTGCTTCACAGCACATCAGTAAATCTTGCAGCCATGTTCTCCCAACTTCTCTTCAAGCACTGGAAGTTCTACCATTTATTGTCTTGCTTAATATTAAAATCCTTGACCCAACTTTTGCTCTTATATAGGCATGATATTTCCTTATATTGCCATACTATATGATAGAGGACAGCTAACTGCTACCAACCTCAGCCAAGAAGTGAACTATGCGGCTTTCCATTCTCAAGGTTGCAACTATTATGCAGTAGCAACGAAACGGATAACAATTAAATTCAATAAACCTTTGACAATATCAGGATGACTACCCCATATCCTCGCTAAAATCCATATTAAAAAAATAATAAAGAAATAAATAAAAGAAACCTTTTATGACTTTAGCTACAAAACCAAATGAAATGTAGCATCATTTTGAGAAGAAAATTAAAACGGGAGAAATTAAAAAAACTTGTCAAAATCATTCAAATCAGTTCACTAAATAAATTAACTTAAAACAGGAATGTCCCAAAACAATTTTGTTGCTACTCCCACTATAAGGCACTCTGAATAAAAATCTAACTAATTCTCAGCTATTACATAACCACAACAACAAGAAGTTTTTTTTTTTTTTTCCATCAGTGATGAGAGTCCAATGTAACTAAATTTCTAATTGATTCATTGAGTCTAGTTTCTGACTATATAAAGGTCATCTTACTAAAGGAACATCAGCTCGAAACAGAACTAACTCTAACACCTACATCAAATTCACAAACCTATATATGCATATATAGCAAAGCAATAATCAAACACTAAATTGTAGATAACTGAAAACAAAATATTCAAACGCAGCTAGCCAATTACCAACCCTCAAAAAATGAATAACACAGTGCAAATAAAGTAAAAATATTCAATTCAAGCAAAAAGGCAATGCAATTAGAACAGGAAAATAACACGAACTTGCATCACTTCCATCATATTATTATATAAATATGTGTATATATATAGCAAAGAGAGCAATTGAAACCATAAATAACAACTGATAAAACAACATTCAGATTCAGATAAAAATTAAAGTATACTCTGTAAGCATTGAGTTCATTCTCGAGCTTGTCCTTCCTCTGGTCGGCCCGACGGTCGACGGTCTCAGTCCAAGCCGGGTCAGGGCCGTAATTGGGGCCCAATCGTCCGTCGATCTTCTGAAGAACCTCCCTAAACAACTGAGTGTTCTCGCCTTTCTTGATCTCGTCGTAGGCCATTCGAAGGGCCTCCAACTGCATCGAAGCGTTGCCGCATCGGTCGGCGACGAAGAAGAGGCGAGCGATCTTCGTGCGACCGGCGTAGAGGGCAGCGTAGGCCTCGATGTCGAGCTGTTCGCCGCTGATGATTGGTCGGTGACGCTGGGGATCGTCACCGCCGTTGGCGTAGATCTCATCGTCGATCATTTGTCCCGAAGGTTCGTCTTCGCCGTCCATGGCGGTCTCTGGTTTAAACCTAACGACGTGAGTTCACGGCCTTTACGTTCTCTGTCTCCTCTCTCTCCTTATAGTATTGTTTGTGAAGTTGTTTTATGGGAAGGGAGGGCGGATTGCACGTGCAACTCTAAATAAATAAATAAATAAATAAATAAAGGACAATATAGTAATTCAATTGTTATATAAATATGTATAAAACAAGTAATTATGCACTCTTAATTTCATTTGGATAATTAAGAGAGAGAAAATAAATAAATAAATAAATAAATAAAAATGGTACATTATTAAACTATTAGTAATGAAATTAGAAAATAGAAAGAAAAAAAAAGGAAGGAAATTGTAGAGTTAAATTATAGTATTAATCATTTCTTATGTTTTGATAAAATGTATGAAAAAGGTGGGGAAGGATAATGATATTTTACTTGATCATATTTGAAAGAGATAGTGAAGGAAAGAAATATGAAAGGATTATTTTAAAAAATATGGACAGAACAAGTATAATGGTATATTTGGTTGGAGGGAATGATTGAGGAGGGATAAATGGGAGGAGATAAGAAAAAGATAACTACCAATAAATATGTAGTTTAAAATTTTAATCTTTTTCAAGTTGTTACCCGAGTTGCAAAGAGTCGAGAGTTAAGTGCTCTATACTATTTGGTTCCAATTCCCTACCCTTTATCCCCCACTAACTACTAGTCTTTAAAAATAAAATAAAATTAACCTTTCTAAAAATTTGAACTATCCACTTCACTTCATTTAACCAAATAAAAAATGAGTGAGACACTTTTCATTTTTCATCTTTCCAACCAAACAAATCATAACATTCCTATCATCCTCTTTCTTTTTTTTCCTTTTTTTTTTCGTTTTTAAAGCTCCATTTGATAAAAAGGGAGGAAAAGCGGTGGAGGGAAGATACAAAACAAACTTCCTTCATTTGATAGAGAGAAGGTAAGGAGAAAAGAGAAACGGCAATGGATGAATCATCCTTCACAAATTTTCATCTCTCCAAATATGGACAAAAACGACGCAAAGAAGACAAGACTATTATAAAAGTTCTTAAATTACAAAATTTTCCCTAGTAATTAACATTATTTCTTCTTCTCTTTCTTAACAAATAAAATAAGATATTATCTTATTCTATTTTCTTTTATCCAACCAAACAAAAAGAGGGAATGACATAATTTTTTTCCTATGAATATCTCATTCATCTCTTCTTCTCTTCATTCCATCTAATTTTCTTTCTTCCTACCAAACAGAGCATAACACAAACACAAAATAACCCTCATTTTTCCTTGACGAAGGTCTTGGAATTGAAGAATTTATTAAGTTGAATTGGGTGATTAAGCTCCTGTTGACCGTTTTGTGAGAGATTCGGATGGAATCTATGAATATCAACGCGGCTTAGATGGGAAAGAGATTGCAATCCGATGGGTTTTTTTGGCTGACTAACACCATATAGAGGAAAAATACATGAAAGATAAATATATCAAAGTAATCAATTAAAAAGGATGAGAAATACATTGAAGAAAAATATGTCATTTCAAACTATTTAATAAAAGAGGTGGGAGACTAAGAGGATAAATGTGGAACACAAATATCAACTCCTTATTTTATTTTTTATTTTTCCCAATTTCTCAAACTAAACAAGATTTAGGCCATCCTTAGTATGCATTTCCTTTATATTCTATATGGACTACATCATTTTCTTTTATACACATGTAAATCAAGAAAGCTTTTTCGCTACAACAAAATGGTCAACACAATCACATTTTAGCAAAATTCCACATATATCGAGTTTTAAGAAATATTAGGGAGTCCTATTTTACTTTATTTATTGACTTTAGTCAATAATTGAACTTACAGAAATCTCCTTAACAAGACAAGATCTAGATTGACCACATTAACAACTCTCTGCCTTGCAGGTAGATAACTTCATGTTCAATTAGCTTCAGTGCCTAATCCAATATGAAGAAATTTTACAATATTACTAGTCAAGCATAATTTCAAATACGTTCTCTTTTACAAATTATTAGAGATCCATGATTTCTCTGCCAAAAAGGTACTTATACCCACCTTGGATTCCATTGATACAGAGCAGATGTCCATAGCCATTGCCATGAATCACCCCATGCTAGAGATGGGAGATGAAAAACACCTTCATTGAGTAGCTTACTCCACTCATCATCCACTAGAATTATCAACTGATAATATCTTTGTTATGAAAAAAAGATCGAGTAGGAGTTTATGAGAACAAAAGAGAAAATTAATGACAAGAAATTAAATAAGCACACACACAAATGAGACAAGGATTTACGTGGTTCGGTTATGTCTACATTCATGGGGAAAAGATAAAACAATGCTTAGCTATGGAAATAAAGAGATACAAAGCAAAGTGGCTTACACCCAAAACTCAATTACACCCAAAATCTCTCACCCATTAACTGATACTGATAACTCACTCAATTGATGATTTTTGGATGCCTTGAACCATGGAGATCACAGGTTATTTGTAGCCAAAATGGGGTATCAAGAATGCTTGCTGAAGCTGCTTCAAACTTGGTGTCCAAGAATTCTTGGTGACCAAGAATTATGCTTGCTGGATACACAACTTGGCTGCCAAGCATGATGATGTCATAGGTGATGTTTGAGCCGCAATATTCAACAAAACTCCACATTGGCGAAAAATTCAAATGAGCCACTGTATCTCTGCAAAACAACTTGTCTTCTCCACTAAACCCCTAAGGGCAATTTCAACATTTGAGAATTTTAGTTAAGTTTGAGTCATGCTCAAACTTAACCCTCAGGCTTTTATTCTTCAACCCGTGCATGTCTTGTACAGCCACAAGCATACCTTCAGTATTTATGTTAAACTCTAAATGCTTTCTAAAAGCAACCTCAGAAATTCCAAGTCTGACATTTCCTTTAACAACGTACCTTCTCCAACAGTCCACAAACCATCGGCTGGTAATGAAAAATCATCTTCTCACCCTTGTGGAAAAATGGACGTCCTTGACTTTTTCTCGCATCTCTGTTATGACCAACTACTTGCCTCCCACGCATCTTAATGGCACTCAAATGGACTATCTCATTGCCACCAAGATTATTACAAGTCAATATCACACCTGTCCTCATGGGTCTGCCTCCCTGTAAGGACTGCTGTAATTTCGGTTGCCATCTGAAAATGGATTTCATTCTCCCACCATGTTATGTAATTCCCTCACAACCCTTTTGAGAATTAGGATCGTCACTCTCTTTTTAACTCTTCGTTTGCCAAGACCTGAACGCAGATTTCTGCTAACTGTAGAAGACCCTGTAGAAGCTCCACCTGTCACTATATTCCCTTGGAGAAGATACAAATTTTTCACCTTGTGTAATACCCCTAGTTTTCAAAAGGATAAAATGGGAATATTTTGGTTTGTTTTTCATTTTTATTTAAATTATTGGACTTATTTGTTATTTGGTGAAATTAGTTGATTAGCACCATAGCATAACCAACTATTTAAAGGTCTTAATAGGTTAATTTTAACATATTTGAAACCCCCTTTAATTTTCAGTATTTGCGTTTAACCCCAGAACTCCGGAAAAATTGCAGAAAACACCCCGTAGGGGTTTTTTTTCCATGGGAGCCGGCTCCCCCTCATGGAGAGCCGGCTCTCTCTTCATGGGAGCCGGCTCCCACCATTTAGGAGCCGGCTCTCACCCCTGAGAGCCCCTCTGCATCGTCTCTACTTCGTCCGATGATTTTTCTGCGTTTCCGGCGAAGTCCGACGTTCCTGTCCCAAGTATTTTAACATTCCTAGGGTTCAATTTAAATTCTTAAAGCCCTAGAAACTTCTCACCATCCAGCATGCATTAATTGACAAAAATCTAAAACAAAACAAAACCGTATCCAAAAACGCCATTCACAGTTAACTGAACGTATGAACAATCTAAAGTCTGATCACAAGTGTCAAAATTCCATTATAAAGGTTAACTAACTTCCTAACCATCCTAACAACACCCCACATCGCATTATGAATTAATTTACAGAGGTTTAATACATAATCTAACAATTTATGCAAGGGAAGCCATCTTCAGTTAGTATACGGTTAACCAAATTTCAGACTAAACTAATATGCATAAAATTTGTTTTAAAAGTTTTAATTCAATTCCTGGAGTCTATTTAGAATGCACAGAACACAAGTTTACAGGAAGGAGGGAATGAAACTTGCCTTTAGATTTCGTTTTGAAACCTTACAGCCGCATCGTCTCTAAGTTTCAGAATTCTCTTATACTGCTCCCACCTCTGACCATTGTTCCATTCCTCTGTTCTTCCTCCTTAGCTTCATAGATTAATACTACGTGAATAATGTTTTATTTTAACCCGTGCAGACTACACAAGAATATACACATTGAAGTGTATACAACCCTCTCTATGTATCTCTGTTTTTCCTCTTAAATTACCCCTACGTGAATAGGGTTTTCTCCCAAAAACCCTTGCAGCATATATTGTTATATATATATAGACTCCTCTGAAACCCTAATCCCAAATCCAGTAATCCTAACCCTAAGTCCAGCCCAACTACAAGTCGGCTACCTAATTACTTAATCATAACACCCTAAACCTAATTAAGGAAAATAAATAAATAAGGAAATTATATATCAATTCAAAATACCAATTCAATTAAACAATTAATTTAAAACCAATCAACAAGTAAAATAAATCAATTAATCTAAAACAAATAATTCACACTTAATCAATTAAGGAAGGATGAATGTTTAAGTTAATAAGTTTGTTTTAATAACTTAAACTGACTGGTATCGAATTACTTTTGGGATATTATATAAATTATTTATATACTTTAATGGAGGCCAGAAAGTTCGGTGTGGGATATGGGCATAGACAGTATTAACTTAAATATTAAATGGTATGCTGTCAGGAGTGGTAGGAATTTTAGTTGCTAGTTTTGGTTTAGCGAACTAAATGGACTAGTGTGGGAATACTGTTGGGGTTTCATATAATGAGCAGTTTGGAATTCAGAGTGTCATATTATATCAGGCACAGGTTTTGGAGTGGAGGATCAAAGGGACGTCATGTGGTGT